AAAAAAATTGATAAAAAATCATTTCGAAAAAAATATTCCATATTAAATGTCAAGTCTGTATATATAATTCAATTTTAGCAATATCTTGAGTGTTAATCAGGCCACAGTAAAGAACTACACATGAACCTTGCTTGTTTTCAATGGCAAAATTTGGCCCATAAACCCTGTGGTGGTTTACCCTGTTTCCACGATATCTTACCAGAAAAAAATAAACCGCAGACTGATTTTCTTGGAACTTTTCTCTTAATCAGAAAGGTATACCAAATTCAAAACATTTGAAACAATTACACAAACGACACGTTTTCAGTTTTAATTTTTTTACTGTAACGAGTGAAAACCTTTATACATGTATCTATAATCTCCAGGGTGACTCAACAGTTATAAAAGTATACTCTGATGATTAAGAAACAGGTGTTAAATTTCCAAAACACGCATTTGTTGGCCTACCTCAAACAAACACTATATATACTCCACTCACTTGTTAGCATTGCAAATAGTTACAGCCGGAAACTGCAGTTCCTTGGCGAACACCATGGTTATTTTAGTCGTCGTGTCGTATCTGAAGTAGGAAGCAAACCTGAAGTATATCTGCACCACAGCGACGACGAATCCCGCAGTGATCAAAGCGGTCCAGATTGCTTTCGCCACAAGATGGCGACTCTGATAGGCGCGGGCGAAGCCATGCGCAGAAGTGGATGTCGCAAAGGCCTCGATGGAAACTTGCGGCTCCTCCTTTGCTTTCTCTTCTTTTTCATTTCTAGTCGAGGTCATTTTAACCTGAATTACGTATAAAATAACTAACTAAATTTCCAATTCGACTATTGCAACTTAAAAAAGACGGACGGAAAAAAGCCAAGGCCCCTCTTCACATGGCCTATGTATATTTTTAAATATACTTATAAATCAAAATTTAATTGTTGTATTCACACGGTACTAGAACCGGTACTAGTGGAATTTGTGTGTGATAATACACTGTCACCCTAGCAATAGGTACCAGAATTGTATTTCACTGTTCAAGAAGCCTAGCTAGCGGGATTAGGTTTTTGAAATTTGGAACTAAACAAAATAATCTCCAAAGCAAAGTGAAAGACACCTACAGTATTCTAGTTAGACCTTAGATTGCTTTCTCTGCATCAGGTTTTCTTCAGAGTATGTTAGGCCTATCAAGTTACTCAAAAACTCATATACAGACTTGACATTTAATTTGGAATATTTCAGTTTCAAAGGTATGCCTAGGTAAAAATGGGTTCATATAAGATATGTGAACAGAGAAGTGGGTATTCAGGATTGTCGTTTCCAGTTAACTGAATACCATATCTGTTGCATTGTGTAATGTGCAATGATTTATTTGGGTAGCGCTCCTTTTGGCTGGTCAAAGCATGTCATAGCGAAGTTTGGTTCTGTGAAAAAAAATATCCATATGTTGGCAACTACTGCATAGAAGAATATAAAATTTTGCATGCAGGCGGTCGGTTTTGCAGTGCATAAAATGAGTTAAGCAGTGTTTTACAAACTGTTAATTTGTGCCAGAATGACACGAAAATAACAGACATTTCCAGACAGATTATTACCCCGGTATGTCACACGAAACGGTCCGCACAGTTTTATACAGTTATGTCCAGACTGATGTACCTACGAAGAGGCCACACCCAATGTATCGAAATCTTACTACCAGGGTACAGGGTTCACTGTCCTTCCGAATATGCTGCAACTAAACAAAAAACACCCAAATTCGTTCAGAATGAGGGGCAAATTGCTACCAGAATGCGTTTTCCAAGGCCCTTACCGAACACCAAATTGGTTTTAGCAGGTTAGCATACCAGGCGACCTCTGAAGAAGCCACTGTAAACAGTAAAACATCGTTGTCTGTTTCTCTAATGGATTGGGGACCATGACCGCGTGGATTTCTTTATTGAGGTCAGATTTCACCTGTACCGCTCAACAGTCAAAACAAAGTTTGCAGACATCGTGAAGAGCCTACGACGTCTAAATTGACTAGAGTGACTAGTGGATACCACACGGTGCCAAAACACCAATGATAGTCATCCTGAAACCACCTGAACCACATCAAATAAAGGAATAATCTGGGAAGCACTTGACTATCATTTGATAGAGGCACCTTAAAACAATTTTAGGTTGCAACTTACACAACCAAGGGAATGAGCAGCTACCTTGGTCATCAAAATCGCCCATTTTTGAACCACATAGACAAAATGTGGGTAGGTTATTACTCGCCGAATCAACGGCCTACATTTCCTACAACAAAACTGAATCAAATTGGAAAAATTTTGACCGATGTCTGGAACGTTATTCCAGATTTAACTCTAAAAAACTATCCCAAGTCATGCATTGCCACTTGAGTGGCCTGGTAGCAGCCAGAAGAGGTCAGGCGTAACAGGGACCGTTGATGCGATTAGACACTGACATGGGGGTCCTTTGTGAAGCATGTAATTCTTTTCCAAATAATAAATTGGAAAATATAGAGATCCAAATATCTCTTTTAATAGTTGTCGTATGACTTAGTATTCTTTTGTTTGCTTCACTGGCAGTTAATGAACTGATGTCACAATGGCATCAAAAAAATTATTAAAAGCTATTAAAACATGATTTTGATCCTTATTTTCATTTATCAGACAGCAAAATAGTAAAAACCTGATGAAAAAGATTTGGAAAAAATATTTCATATTAAATGCCATATCTGTATTAAGTGAGCGTGCATATTACAATATCATTCTAGAGGACTACTGCTTCTGTTACTACTAACTTGATAACCCACTTACTAACTACCAGCTAACTGAATACTTACTAAATGTCTAATTATGTAACTTACGGTAACAGGCTGAATTGCTAATGAATTTTGTTAAAACAAAATATGTATTGGCCAATGCCTATACTTACCTGTGACCAGCGAGGACGGCAAAATAGGAATGATAAAGGTGACTGACACAGGCTTTCTGTCCCGCTTAATCAAACATTTCATTGAATCAGAAAACGAACCAAAGCAAATATAAAGAGAATGACAAGGAACACGTGAAAGTGGTGTATTATCACCTGAGCCAGTAGGTCAACTAAAACTGCTTTAAAAGCGTCGTTAAAATCAATAATAGGAAGTATTTTATCTGGGCTTCAGTTTGAAAACAGTTGACCCCCCCTAAGGAACAAGAACCAAAAACTAGACATGCTTCAAAGCGCAATTACGTTATCGATTCCTGCAGCAACATAATAACTAACTGTTTGCAATGTTGTTGCGATAACACAGAAAGGTTTTTGGTGTTACATAATATCTTTTTAACTTTTTGATTAAATTCAACACCATAAGACCCGTAGGGCGCCAGGTCCACTCCCAAAGCCTCCTGCCATCTTCCGCTTCCTTTGCAACGCTTGTGGTAATGGGACGTATCGACCGTTTTGAAGGGTAACACGTTGTCCAAGTAGTTTTGGTTTGTTTTGTGGTGCTAAATGGTACTGGTCAACTTCGGTAAGTTTAAACATTGCACTCAGATACATAAGTATCTCATGTGTACAGTGGATCAATTCACTCCATTTCCTGAATTTGATTTTATTTTCACGTCAAAGTGACGTTCGTTCGATGTGTCAATATCGCATTAATGGAAAATTGTAGCAAAGATATTTTTCTTTGATATTCAAGTCGATTGGTTTTTCTCGTATCAAGTATCCTTTATTTAAAAGAACGACAAAGTGGACAGCTTATGTAACACCTCTGCTGAATATACATATATATATTTATTTCATTCGCACAAAAGATCTCAGAAAGTTTAAAATGCATACAATACAAGTATATATTTACATGTCATATTGAGTAATATCTCTACTTCTGAATATCAAAGCCAATGTTTCTAAAACATCCCTTATTGTGTTAATTGTGGAAACGGGGAAAGTTAGCCTGCTGTCGTGAAATAGTAAAATTTCCGGGAAAACCAAACAATGCCTACCATTAAGAAACCTTTAAGCTGTATCGATTGCCCAACAAAAGTTACGTAAGATGCCAGTCATAACATTAAAGTCGCTGTAGACACCGTATCATGTACAATAATACATACCCTGCAGATTTTTCTTATGCGCATCATAAAGTCAAAGGGTATTTTGAATATTACTTGATCCTTTTCTCTAAGAGTTACTGCACATATAGCATATGTAGATTATTTAACATTAATGCTCTTAAAATACTATACCAACGATTCAACACATTTAAATACCGTATAAATGCTTTATTGTGCATTGGCTTCAATTTATTTTGCTTTCTCCCAGTTCATCAGAAGCCTCTTACCTTGAATTCAGAGCAACGTCTGAAGAAGTACCGCTGGACGGTTAACTTAATCAACCAACCTACGTGCATGCATTGTAAGTCTACTACTTATACCTTTCAGGAGTATTTTAGTCTTCGACCCTGGGTAGTCTGAAATAGCTAGGTTTGAAGCATATAACGCCAAAATTGACCGATTTGATGTCCTCTCTGTTCACATCCTGATTTAAATCATACATCATTTCAAAGCACGGAACCTCTCGGTCAAAACTAGCCATGATACACATACACAAATGGCAGGAGATTAGGCCTACTTAAACAATATTTCACAGTTGTAATAATAAGACAAAATTGTTTCCAAACGAAGGATATACTGTTTTTGGGACCATTCCCAGACCCTATCGTACTAACTGTGTATCTCCAAGGGATTCTCGCAAAAGTGCAATCAACTTAAGCGAGTTAAATGTCTGTTACACCTACTGAGGTTGCTGGGGGATATTTATTATTGCAATTTAGCGAGAAACCCCTCAGAGATGGATCTATCCTGGTAGATCGATCTAGGTACGGGAACCCAGTCTATGAGCCGTTTGCTTTTGACTACCAGTACTTTTATTGAGTCTCTTGCTATATTTTCTTTCAGTCCCATTGGATGTTCATAGTTTTACAGTTGTTTTAACTTAAGGTCGTGATTTCATTTCTTAACTTTGCTCTCTACCATCACAATGTCAACTTTTGGCTGCCGCTTGGCCGATAAAATCCACGTGTACAAGGTCATCGCCGCAAACTCAATAAATTCGATAATGGTCAGCAGGCTGAAGCCCATAAAGAGTCCAAACTGTCCACCGATGTCACCTTGAACAAAAAGTGGCCATTGCTCTTACCAAATACATTTGAGTTATGTTGTGATTATTATACTTTTAGGTGAAATTACAGCGGCTTACCCACAAGAAGGTCCAATATTTTAGATACCTGAGTACTAACTTTGATAACTTTTCTTATAAGAAATTTTCTTTAAAAAGGAAATACAAAAACCAGCACGTCTAATTAAAGGGGCCGATGCGCAAGCTAAACCTAAGGAGACGTTTTCTGGTCACTGTGTATTATCATCAATGTCTGTGAACGACCGCCAGATGGTAGCACCGTCGCAAGAATGTGTCAATTTGCCCTAACTCCTTTTGTCTAATTTTAATTGCAATTTAGATAACAGTATAACTGACGAATGCCCCTTTTATTTGACTTGTGGCATTTTAATAAAACATACGATAGTTTTGTAAAATGGACACCAGACGATACATATAGGCCTACTCCAGTGGCTTTATGTTGGAACGCCAACCAAGAATGTGAAATACTCACTTATTAGAGCGGATGGCTCCACGGCTGGTAACTGCTCGCTCTTGATATAGTTCAGGTTTTCCAGGTAAATATCCATAATGACGTAGTTCGCTCTTTTCAAAAGAGATGATATGAATGATAGTTAACATAATTTTTTTCATGAATATATCAAAATTTATGCTAATATTTTTAAAATGCGTAGCTAGATGAATTTGTAGTATGGGAGCCATAGAAGATAAAATACATTCAATATGGGCATATTGATAACTTTTAAGTTAATTAAAATTAATTAATCGATTGATTAATTGATTAACTTATCAAATAATAAACTGGCCAATAAATGAATATATATAACACATAAAGTTGCTCTCTATAATTTTTAGGAGTCTTCAACTCACATGAAAGCCACATGGCCGACACAGCAATTTTATACCGAATATACAATCTAATTGATTATTTTGAAAATAATGCTTTATTTTCAATAATATCGTGACCACGTAAATATTTACAAATTGTTGTAGGTTACATAGTTTCAAAAATGCGGCCCCAGTATCACTTACTTGACTTCAGTGGGGGACATACGTAGATTCGTAGCCAGTTCACTTGCTGTACTGTTACTAGGTATTGACGTATACGTCACTGACGTAGCATACGTCACGTCCTCACAAGCGACGGGACAGTCACACATGTTGGAAAATTCCTGCTTAATTTTCACTTGAAAAAAATCATTTTCGTGATTAGGAAAGAGGTCGTTTTATTTCTATCGGTAGGTGTATTTTGCTCATCAGGGACTGCATGAAAATCTATCGTTTTTGTTTGACCTCAACTCACAATAATTAATTAGACGATACTCTTCCTCACAAGACACATTCAACAGCAATTATTTTTTTGATCTGTAAGAAAGCAAAGCTACTACCACTGTATTAGTTTACAGGCATTAAATTGTAAAAGAGATATAGGCATTAAAATGTATAAGAGATAAAACATCTTATACATATTTTAGTTCGAAGGTCCGGTTGTTTTACATATAAATGATTCCATAAAAAGTAATAAATGGTTTTAATCTCACCTAATAGTGGTTTGGCGCATGTCGTAACCTCCATCAGCGAACATTCCCTTCCTCTTCCTGAGATGCATAAAATGATTTATTATCTTTTATGTAATTTTTTATAGAATACATCGATGAAAACAAGGTAACGCATTGTGAAAAATGAATTGGAACAACTATTGGAATGAATATCAACGACGCCTGAATTATCTTTTCAATTCTAAAAGGTTTTAAAAGTAAAAGTAATAAGTAAATAGACGGACGGTCAGGAAAAAACACATACACACGGACAGACAGAACAAACAGACGAATAGCTACTTAAACAGAGAGAGAGAGAGAGAGAGAGAGAGAGAAGAAAATACTCCGATAAAATTGAACTTATTTTACAGTATAATTTACGGAAGGGAGAGAAATTAACAACAAAACAAACAAAACGATACTGTACAATAATAATGACATTACCCTCGTATTCAAAGAGTTCGCATCCACACTCTCTCAGCATGTGTTGCTCTTTACACTCCAGTACACAGGCGGCCACGGAATAGTCCGGAAAATTGACCAGTTCTGCCGACTTGTTACACAGACCGTATGGTGGGTCTATCGAATACGACTAGAAAATGATTAAAAAAAAAAAACAGTGCTGAGATGGTCAAAAGTCAGTAGTTTTAAAATAATAATAATAGTTTATTAGGTAAAATTGCAACCCTAAGGTTGAAGTTGTACATGTACAAAGAATGTTTAAAAGAAAATTGACAATAAACTTTAAATTATAAACCAATAAAGAGACTGCGTCCCTTTAGCCTTATCATACTAGCAGGACCGATTTATCTCAGCGGGGATTCTTGCTCAGCCAGAGTCAATGTAATCAGCTCAATTGTCGGACACGCCCCCTTGCAAAGCAAAATAAAGAACATCATGGACTACTAAGTTTTCCCAACTTCACCAAATTACTTTAAGTTTTAAAGCCGCTTAAACTGAATGCAATTTAGCGAGAATTCCCGGGGGTTACATCGATCCAGCCAGTAAGATAGGGTATGGAAACGTTCCCCAAAGGTATTTTTACATGCAGCTAAGTCGGCTAAGATTTCAGCTTGCAAACTATCATACACTGTACGTCTTTTTGTGAAACAGGAGTTGGTTTTAAAGGTGGACATAATTAAGCTTGTGTCTAAATAACTGCTAAAAAAGTGGATCCACGTGCACAGCAATGACTCACGTCTGTCCTGGTAAGCCCAACGTAGGCGTGGAAACCTGGCGGAACTGCTCTTCCGTCCGTCTCGACAGAGGGCGGCACAGATTGGTTGTGCACGTGGAAAAAAATCCCAGCATCCACCTGGTCGCCTAGTTGCAGGCGGTTGCTATAGTATTGCTGAAATGGATGCAGGAAAATTAAGCAAATTATCTGAGAAGGTCCTTTTGGTCAATAATCCAAGGAAAATTTGAAAAAAAAAATGAAAAAAATCCTACCGGAATTTAAATATAAAAACGTATATTTTCTTAAGTTTTAACAATCTGCCTTTCACTGAAGCAAAATTCATGAAATATAGTTTACATTAAATTTATAATCTCAGATGTTCATCTCCCAGTTTGGATTCAATCATATAAAATCTGTTCTCTTACCTGTTCAATATTTATTTCGAGACTGAGTCCGTTTTTGGCGCCAGGTTGATCTTGGAAAGCGTCGTTGTTAGCATTAAAAGTGAAGCAGTTCCCGAATGCTGTAAAAACGTGGTTGAAATCCTGGAAGGACATTTGGTAGCTATGTAGAAAGTACTGCTGTTTCATACCACCCAAAATTTCACTATATAGCCATCACTCACACCATCACCATCATCACCATTACCATCACCATCACCATCATCACCATCACCATCACCGTCATCATCATCATCATCACCATTACCATCACCATCATCATCATCACCATCACCATCATCATCTTCATCACCATTACCATCATCATCATCACCACCATCATCATCACCACCAACATAATAATAATAATAATAATAATAATGATAATAATAATAATAATAATAATAATTAGACGGATGGCAGTGTAATTACATGTACCAACACAAACTCTGAGGCAACTGCAATCAACGTAATAATAATAATAATAATAATAATAATAATAATAATAATAATAATATACCGTTGTCCAATTGCAAGGACGTCCTCTGAAAGTACAAATGGCGTTGGAAGCATTCAGATACCACCCTTTCTCGAGAGTGAAATTGGACAACTGGAAACCCCTTGGATACATGCTCCTCATCATATTATCCATATCACTCATCGACATTTCACCATCTTCAGCATTGTTGGTGGTGGAGGACGTAAAATGTCCGTCATTATCTTGGTCATCAGGCATGTCGTAATCGGTTGACATGTAATCCTTGGCGGTTTCCAGAAATTTAATGTCTGTCCGTGTGAGTCGGTGGCTCATATACCTTAAATTGCAACATTCATTAAATTTGATCTTTATTTTTTTTTTACATTTTAATGTATTAAAATACAGGCCAGTGTGCAGGTAAAGTAATGGGTGTTTAATATGCACAATGAAACACAATATAAGGTATTTTAATGTTTTAACAATGTTTTAAAAAACATCATATCTCGATTAAAAGAGATTAATGAAATGAATTGACAAGAAATACGAGTACAAAGTCAGAGAAAACTCGACTTTGTGACTTCTAGGTCAACCACTGGTGTTTAACAAGTCGTATTTTAGATCTTTAAAAAATTGAATTACAATTGACAATTTAAAAATTACAGTGCTGTCGTTTGTAAAATTTTGCCTCTGCATACTGGTGCAATTATGTATTACTTACTTGTTGGCATTGCAAATGGTAACAGCGGGGAAGTTGAGACTTTTGGCAAAAATCTTGGTGATCTTTGTAGTGGTGTCGCGTCGTAAGTAAGACGAAAACCTGTAATTGATCTGAATCGTGGCGATTACGAATCCCGTCAAAATCAGCAGTATCCAGAATACTTTCACCACCAGATGGCGGCTCTGGGCGGCTCGTGCGAATCCGTGTGCGGACGTTGATGTTGCGAAGGTAGTAAGCGCAACTTTAGTCTCGTTTTCGCCCTCTTCTTTTTGTTTTTCGCCGTTGCTCACGGAACTGAAATAATAAGCAACCAAAAATACAATGTGGTCCACGAGCGCAGACCCTCAGCAAGGAAAAAACATGCAATGAAACGCCATTTGAATGTGGGGCCTGGATTCGGTTAGAATTATAGGAACTTCTTTCCGTTCTGAATAACTTCTTTACTTTTGTAAAGAACTTTTGAGATATCTTGTCAACTAAGAAACATGAAAAACCACACGGAAAAAAGTTAGACCATAAACTCCTTTGTTGCCCCATCAAAAAATGACCGTAAACCGCACAAATAGCATGCGGATAACCCAATCTTTGATTATCATTGCGAGAGAGAGAGAGAGACTACAATCAATACGCTTCAGATGAATCACGGAAAAATCACAATTACAAGCTGCTTGCTAAAGTTTGATAAACAGGCTTAAATGCCTAAATCGATTTCTCCATTTACCTGGTTCATTTCTTAAATACAATAGGCATGTGGATGTACTCACGATCAAGATGGCAGTTATGTAGATGATAAATTTTTAACGAAAACTTTAAAATCGTTGAAAGTAATGGTTTGCATCCCTGTGTCATTTTTGAAAATAAACAGTTGACGATGTAGGCGTTCGGGTTCAACACAATGGATTTTCAATGAAAGCAAATAAATGGAAACGATTGACAGTGGACAGAAAAGAATTTCATCATCTGCCATAGGAGAAATTTTTACTTCATTCATCAGTTAAATATTGATTGACAAAGGAGTTCAAATTACCCCATTTGTGGAAGAACACCCATTTTTTAATATTTTCGCCATGCTGACGACATGCCATCTAATCCTATTATCAAGTTTTTCACGTGTAATTGGTCTACAACGCACAAAAAAGAAGAAAGAAATAGCGTGCTTACTTCATGGTCGTACCGGTTTAACAAACAGCGCGTTTCAGATCTTTGTAATGTAAAACATAAATAAAGATAGATGAAAATTCCTGAAAATTTGTGGTTTCCCCACAATCACCCCCGTATGTTCTTTGCAAAACAGTTGAGAATATTTAATCTCTTTTTCGATTTCCTTTTTTTTCCCTTTCATATTTATTAATGAACTTTGACAGTCTTTTTTACGAAAGTGACTAAAATTAGACTTTCAGAAGACAAAAACGTCTTTTTAGGTCATTTTTCGTCAAAGCTTCTGGTGTACCTTGGTATTTAAGGAAAAGTGTTTAGCTTTCCGGGAAAACTACATAAAAATGCCTTTTCCTGACTCCAAAACAAATAGAAAGACACCAAGAGCTACGTGTGCTACATACCGAGTTTGAGGCGTGTTCTGTGACATGCGGTACTTTCTCTCGGTATATCTGTCAAATAATACACTGCCACCCTCTCGCAATGTATGTCTTGAAGACATGTGGACGCTCGAGGTATTCTGGCATATATCGCTAGTGTGACATTGTATTGTCTAACGCCTTATCGGTGTCGCGTCCTCCACCAAAATCACATCTTAAGCAAAAGCAAAACTCACCTTTTCATCTTGTACATTCCTGGTTGCTTCTGTGACAAGTCCTCTCCAAAGTCTTCAGGCTTTAGCCAGTTCTGGTACTTCAATACCGCTAATAGATGCCGTATCGATCATGTTGTAATGTGTACCGGAATGTACATGTATTAGCGCAATCCCAGTCGTTAGTAGGCGCTATTAGCTTCGGGGTATGGATTGATTCTACACTAGGAAAAAAACAAGTAATAGTAGACACTTCAGGGTAATGTGGTAGACAAACAGAAATCACCAACGGATTGTTTGCGCCGTTGCTAACTTTGGATTTTAACGCTCTACTTTGCTGAATGATCAAAATTGGTCACTTAATCCAAAACGTACAGGTGTGTATTTCAAAGTTTTTTACCCACAAGTTGCAAGACTTGAGATTCAGGACCGAATTACTAACTTCTGCTTTGGGCAAAGAAATGTTTTTCGCCATATATCCACAGATACTAGGGGCAGAACCAGAGATATTTTCTGACAGTCTTCCAAATTATCTTTGATGATCTATCCTTCATTTTTGACCGTCTTCCAACAGAAAAATCAGATACTTGTCAATGTAAACTTGAAAATCTGAGCGTCTTCCAGAAGACCCAGAAGACGGCCTCAATCCGCCCCTGAGATACATCTCTGTCTATTTCCGTTTCTGCTTTGAGACCATCGGAAAATTTTGAAAAATAAAAGAATCTATCAACCAACTGACCTCTGAAAAGAGTACATTAAGTCTTTTTACACTTCTCTTGGGATGAATAACAAAATTAGGAATTGTTGTGGTTTACTATCTTGTTTTTTTTATCTACATGAAAATTATAGTCTTACAGCTTGAGGTTTACCAGAAGCCACAAAGGCTGACTTCTTGTAACAGAGGAATTTTCAAAAAAAAAAAAAAAAAAAAATTGTCTACAGGCCGTGTTACAGATTCGCCTCTCTTTAAACAATATTTATCAATATTGTATACCCTTAATATGGCTTTCCTGAAGAGCGTTAAATGAAAAAAGATACAATGTCCGGCAACAACTAATGGATATTTGCAGGGAAAACACATTCTTTATTTATAGAGAAATTAGTTATTTTTTAGGTAGCCATACTACGATAAAAGAGTAGTAAGAATACACAACTCTTCTAAAAATTATTGGATGGTCAACAACATTACATCATAATATCATAACAGCTTATGATAAAAAAAGCAAGTTGTCTTTGAATATTTTAAAATCAATTTAAAGGCTGGTTACATAAAACCTTTGTGTTATTCAATGGTCATACTGCATTTCCAACGTTTTTCATTTCAGTAAAAATAAAATGTCATTGATTTTTTCTGTACTTAATGTTGAGGTGACATAAACCTATCGATCAATGGTAAATGCAGGCATTAAAAAAAACAGAAAAGTTTACTACTGATCGACTGAAGCTTGCCCAAGCTTGCGGTGTCTAGGTTTTTATATGTTCTAATTGAAATATCTCCCATCATAGATACCAACCTCTTTACACACGTGGTACAATACGCGTTTCCCTAAAACAAACTATGTATTATTCATTGTTCAAAGTCAAATGCAACACCTTTCAGGCATTTTTCAGGTCAGTGAAAATACACTCATTGTCATATCATTCGCTGTAACTTACAGGAACCAAATTGCCATTGATTTTTTTCTCCAATTAATTTCTGGGAATCATTATTAAATGTTGGGGTAATATTTACCTGCTGATTCATGTTAAATATAGGCAATAAAAAAGGACAAATCTGCTCAAGCTTACAGTAAGGTGTCTAGGACCCCATTTCCAGAGATTAGATCGATCTACTTTAGATCGACCTAACTCCCTGGGGGTTCACGCTAAATAGCTGTCAGCCGAGCGGACACAAAAGTTAATTACCCCCTTACAGCTTGTAGTAGGCGGGACGGACATTTAAGCGGGATTATCTGACAGTAATCTAGTGAGACTCCCCGCGGGAATAGATCGATCTAAAAGCTCTGGGAATACAGCCCTAGGGGTTTGAATGTTTTTGTCCGGATATGTCTCGTCTTCTATATATAAAGCTATTTTCGCATGTCAATAACGTTACATAATAAGTACTTCAACAGAAAATAGTATGCTCTATAGAAAAATTTTTGTCGTTTTTAGACAAACTTGCCATGAATAGATGCGGCTCCATCAAAGTGTTCAAAAAGGTTGCCAAAACATGTATGTCATACATGTTCACCTTTGGCAGGCATCCTTTCTTGTATTTGATAATTTGTATGGTTATTTTCAACAGCGACCTCTGAAAGCCACTATTATTCCATTCACGCCGCAAGAATTTACAAATTTGACAGTCACAATATATGTTGAATACAACTTCAAATTCATTCAATTGTTATGTTTTGATACCTTAGCATGTGAAATGCAAGTCTATATTGGGTTTGGGTGTAAGACATATAACTGGAAACAACAGTCCTTATTAAATTCCTTTATTTTGGTTTCTTTGGGTTTCCAGCATTTACAAGATTATATACACAGATCATACGAAGGTGGCGTTACAGAAAAGAGAGGAACTTTTTGTATAAAATAATGGTAGTATTGCTTACTGACATTAGTCTGTTTTACAATACAATGTAGTTGATTGGAGCGTAATGTAGCAAAATAATAAATAATATTTCACTATTCAATCAAGTGAACATTATTAGAAGGCTGAATGTAAAACTAATTCCAGACAAAAATATCGAATAATATTACTTACTGGTTAACTGTAGCTTATTATATGAAAGGAAACATCCTTAACAGAAAATATACTTCCATTTTCCAAGTACAGAAAGACACATAAATGACTAGATCTACTTTAATAGTACTGTATATACAACTGATTGCAAACTCATCTTATGAACTCTCTATAATTCTTTATATCACTTTGTACACTAACACGATACTAACAAACATTTGATTGTCAAGCAAATTCATCATCTTGATCTTTGGTTTAGCTGGGCAGTTGAACAATTTTCCAATATCACATGACTGACACGTGATTTATCAATTTGCATAATGATTCGTTGTGATTGTCCTCAATATTGAGCTCAATTAAATAGTGCAGTAAGAAAACAGTGTAATAAACATCTAAACAACATGAGAAACTAGTTTTGATTTTCTGCTTTTCTATATACAGTGACCAATGACGTGCAGTAATTATATACAGTGCGGGTCTGTGAAGCTTTCAGCCAATTAAAAAAAGGTCCTTTGGTGACTATCCTTGCCACTTTTGGGAAAGGAATACATAAATATTTGTTCTATTTGTTTGATCATAAAAATTGTTTACCCTTCTTGTATTATACAAATCCTGAATGTTAAAAACAAAATATTGGGTAGCTATGAATAAATAGATTCTGATATGCAAATACTTATCAGTCATCTTTTGTATAAGTTTAAAAACCTAAGCAGTTGAAAACTAAATCCATTATATATACTTACACGGAACTTTGTGCAAAAACATTGTAATTTTAAATGGTTTACAAACTAATAAACAATGATTGTTCTATTGGCAACAAGTATCAAAAGCTCTACCTGATATGCAATGTAGATATACATACAAGTAAATAATTAAAAATATACCACCCACATTTTGAAGAATCTCCACCTTTGAATTAATAATCATTTCAAATATGTAACCAGAGAAAGAGTAGAACTAGGTTTTGCAGAAGAAAATTCAAAGGATGAATCATAAGTTTTCTATTCTGCATTTAAAATCAGTGCCATTTTCACTGAACCAATGCTTTTTTTTAGGTGACCCCTAAAACCATGGTTTCCAAAAGTTCATAACAATGATAATTATAATATTTTAATTCACTTGGATCAAAGATGGCACTCAACTCTAGATGTTTGTTGTAATTAATAAATAAATATTTCCATTTCTTGAATACCTATTCTTTAAAAGATAAACAACATATCTCCTCGTCCATATTCAGGAAAATAAGGCCACTCAATATTTCTACAAACTTCTACATGGTCCTCACAGCTCTAGTTAAAATAATACAATTTGTGCATATAACAGGTGATAAAAATGGCATCTAAAACACTAAAGCCTCCCTGTACAAATATGAATGAGATAATTGGCTGAAAAGTTATCATAAAATGCAACATGTATATTATATTAATCACAATATGTTATATTATGAATGAAGTGATGCATTTTATATTATTCTTTTCTCTATTTAATTTCAGATCTTTTGTGTCATCTCTGTATTTCATATAACTGACTTTTATGTACAAAATGATTATCAAATGCATGTATGTACATATGTATTACCTAATGAGAAAACTGTTCTAATTTAAAGCTTTGTAACACAAGATTCTATTTTAAATGCCTTAAAAAAAGCCACTGCTTACAAAAATGCCAAAAGTCAGTTCGCGTCTACGTTATCAATCTTTTCAAATAACAGCAGCAGACGTTACAAGGGTTCTTATTTCAAGACAGCCCTAACGATAACATTACCCAAATGCATTTCCTGAACAACTGGATTTATATAATAACATTTCTCATTTGAACAGCATCCACAAGTTGACTCACGTTCATCCTCTCGATATTTTGATTATCAGATACTGGGTGCAAGTGTTCCCTCCACTTGCAATTTCATTTTACTTCACTGCTGCCTCATTGAAGAATAAGTAGTTTATGCATACAAAACCATCTATCTTCTTATTTTCTTGATATGAAAGCTGGCACAGACATACATGTCTTAACAGCTTGCATATCATATTCACAGAAGAAATCCTCTCCCCATTTTCCGATGCTTCTGTGACAATACAGTTCTTCTCATTTATATACTTCATTAAGGTGAAATTTTCGCTTTAGACACTTTGTGAAAATTTCCACAACTGCACTAAGTTGTAAATAATAATAAAGAGGATAATAATATTAATAAAATAAATAAATTTATAAACAGATAAAAAGTGGCACTGTGCACAGTCTTGTTAAAAAAAGTCCAGTTTGGAATCATTTCCAATTAACATGCATAGTATGAACATTCTGTAGAATGATCAGTAAAGGCACTTAATTGAGGTATCACATCACAAACTCCATCCATCCAAAGAACCTCTGTCCCTTTTCAGAATTGTGTGAACATAAAAATTAGTTTTCCGTCTTTGAACAGGAAATTCTCATCTATAACGCCCACGCTTTTTCAAAAGATGGAAGAAAATTCATGGTAGTGCCATGTTTTTCGAGGATGACCTATCAAGATGTGTATGACACTATCTTAGTCTTTGGAATGCATAGGGCCTGAATTACCCTGACTATAAAGTAGAGAAAGCAGCTGGTGCAATAATTTCTTCATCTTATTCACTTTTCAAAGTGTCATCTTCTCAAAAGCCCATTTATTTTTAAGAGAAATCATATACTGCTTACATCCACCTGAGATTCATATATTTCCCAGCATTCCTAGCTACAGTCTGTTGCCCTGGATACCAGAGCCACCACCAGTGAGGTAAGCAGCAGTAAATGCAATGAAGGGATTTGATTGGCTGCACTGTTCAAGGTCTGTATTTGAGCACTCCGTATGTCTGCTGTGATGAGAGGTGATAGCACAAGATCAGACATAATGCAGGGACTTTTAAGTTGGATGAGGGATGCTATTTTTTCTGCCTCCGTGTTGCATGCCTGGACCTGAAAAATCCAGATTTTGATTTTTAAATGACAGCTTACTTTTAGAATAATTCATATTTTGATGACATCACTGAATCTATTCAATAAAACCCATTTATGTTTGTAAATTTAAAAGGATTTCAATAAATGTGTCAATATCAATTCATGTTTTGACAGCTTTCATCAATTCTCATACTGTTCGTCAGTTTTTTTATTATACAGAATAGTCTTTCAAACATAATAATTTAATTTATAAAGTTATCTTCAACAAACAAGTCTTCATATAAAGATTGCTGCTAATATCTTGCACTAACCTGAAGAGGTGTAGGGGACTTTGTAATTGCTTTTATAAGAATCACCAGATCTCCCTCTATGCTGAGGTAACCAAAGACATCACACTCCAGGATGGTCACATGGTGTCGCAGGTGCTCTGTGACTGTCTGCACTGTGATTGGCTCAATGTGGTCAGCTGACCTGTCCACCATGGCAGTGCTGTAGAGAACTCGGATTTCGCTCGCTGGAACAGGACCGTTATAGACTGGCAGATGCTTGACACAATAATATCCAGTACATATTTAATCTTTGTGACACTAAAAGGCGTCACTGCCAACAGAAGAATGGGAAGTGTCCAAAGAGGGATTTTCCTGTTATCATCATATATTTATGGTTGGAACTCAAGTAAAAAACTTAGAAGTGAAAAATTATATATCAGTAACTTGATGAAGAGGCCGGCTTATGTGTACAAATTCATGCATATAAAAGCAAGTATTATATCTTCATTTAGGTGTTGACAAA